TTTTCATTCTAATCGTATGAGATTTTATCACACAGGCTGATTGGTTTTGTATGCCGTTGTACGACCATCAACTGCTGCTGCAGCATCGATAGCTCGTGCAAATGAATATTCTTGATGTGTGTGCGCTTCACGCCTGCCTTTTTTTCGCTTTAACGAAATGCATTCTGTTTTCCATTCTGAGCTTCTGATAACTTCTCTTTGAATTTGTGAGAGTTGAGGTGGTTTCTTTTGTTTAAGCTGAACATGTGTGAACTGAAGGCAGTGAACGTGAGTCGCATGCACTATAAATTATCATTTAAAAAACTGGTTTTCTGACATTTGCCCAATAAAATCGTCTCAAGATAATGCGATTACTCGATGTGGCGTTTTTCAGTTGTGCGCTCGCGCACGCGCGACTCGTGATCGAGCGAACGTAGCGCTGATTTTTTTTTTTGAAGCCGGTTGTACTTAATGGCTGTGTTGTCAAGTGGAAACGAAACGGTACTCGCAAACAAAAAAAGAGAATGAAACAATTGCATGAATTCGGTATCCCTATTGTTCAACACAGATCATGTCCGAATTCCAAACTGTCGATGACTCTCGTACACGCACACACATGACAGTCAATCAGTGTTTGCGAATTAATTTCCATGATGATTATTCGCGTTTTATGCATCTGTTCTTGTTCCAAATTGACGGTCATTCAATGTTATTTTCAAATGGATCCTTGGAAGCCATTTACATTTTTATTATTGGTCACACGTGTCAGAAATATCCCATTCAATTGAATAATTAGCTCTCTAGCTTGTGGACGCCAGAATTTTGACGAATCACTTCTTGCCGTTGAATAGAAGTGAAAAAATGCATTTATGCAAAAAAAAACCTTTGGTGTGAATACTGAATGCGAGAACAATGTGTAAACAAAAACGCACGAAATTAGACCGCAATGTTTTTCCAAACGATTGCCTAGTTTCGGGAGTAAATCAACGTATAAATCAATCCGGTATTTTTATTTTCTGTTAAATATTTCATTGGTACACAGCATGTTTGGTGAGATCATTACAATTTATGATTGGAAGATTATAAAGTGAACGATAAAGTCTGCTAATGGGCTAATCTATAGCCATTCTACTTGTTTAGATAACATTTTGATATTATGCGAAAGTAAGTTTATCACGACACTGAATTGACAATTAAACGCAGTAGTCAGCACCTTTCAATTGAATAATTCGGTCACAAAATTCCCGAGCACTTGTTTAGTTTTGGTTCAGTTTTTCTTTCGTCGATTTTTCTCCTTTGATTACAAATTTTTCTGGAGATTTCATTTGATTGTCTCAATTTTTGGGTAAGTAACACTTGTTGATCACTGCACAAATCTTGGACCAAATGGAAAAAATGTCATAATTTTCCGTGAAACAATGGAATCGAGAAGAAAAAAATCGGAACAATAGATGAGATAAAGCAGTGCGGCTATCTCAGACTGATCAGAAAACACCACCGAGCTAAGCATACAAACGCGAATCAACTGCACATTTGACTGACATCTGTTGATCCATAAGTGCCAGTATGCGCCATAAAAAAAAACACATATATCGCTTTTTTCCCTTCATTTCCGTATATCCACAGACACATACGAATGCAAACGCAGAAAATTGCTAGACATACGGTGGCGCGTGCGCAATGCGTTTTATGCAAACGGTACAGTGAATTAACAACCGAAGAGAGGCAGAAAAAAAATGTCGAATATGTATGATATCATTTGAGAATGCAAAAATAAACCAAGACAACGATGAAGACGTGACGGAAAGAAAGAAGAGGGAAAAAGCGCACACGTAAATTCTGACATATCGGTAGACATATGAGATGCCGTGTTTGTGTCTCGTTGATGATGATAATATTTCACTTGCAGGTGTTGCTGCTGGTAATTTGTGACGCATACAACGCGGCCCCATAAATACATGGCAAAAAAAAAATTAACCATCAGTCGACATGTTAAAATCAATGGAATTGAAGACAAATGAGAATTGCAATTCTCTTTTAGTCCGAAGCACACTGACACAGATTCAGTGAGTTGTGGTGCGGACACAACGAAAAAAGCGGCAAGAACAAGATCGTGAAATGTGCTGGGTGAAAAGAAAACACACACACACACAAAATGGAATGCATGGATTAGCATGCGGAGGTAACGCGAACAACAATGCATCAAAACAGATGCCCAACATAAACAAACTCAAATACATGCACATCAACTCAATCGATTGCGTGACAAATAACCATATTACATTATATTTAGGGTCGTTTACTTATTTATTACACATTGGCTCGGAAAACATCTTGTAAATGCAACAATGTGTTGCTATTTTTTCGCTTCTCTTCTTTTCATTTCAAGCACGGAACACATGTATACTCATACATTATGCGTTCTATAACAAATTATCGCACATCGTTGTCGATCAATTTTCTTCAGCGTCTATGGCTATTTGGCACTCATTCACCATCAACAAATCCATATTCATAGACTGGTGCTGTGTGGCTGTTGCATGTTTTCGCTTCGATAGAATTGTTTCACAAACTCGTTCATCGACTGGTTTTTCCTTTCTTTTCGTCTCTTTTTTTCCATCTCTCTCTCTCTCTCTCTCTCTCTCTCTCTCTCTCTTTCTCTGTATTGAAAACGGTGCAGTTTCGTGTGAATTGAAGGTGTGTTTCGCGTTACGTTTACGGCAATAGCAAGTCGATTCAATGACCACATATAGGAAATTGCTTGTTTTTTTCTGTTTGTTTACATGCATCTATTAGATAGGCGCTTATTTCCACGATTTCTCGGCACGTTCTATTTCTCGTTAATAGGCAAACAAGGATGTGATGAATCAACAACAATCTCAAATTGGATTCGGAATTCACGTACATAGTCTACATTTGCCAAGTGCTATAAATATCTAATTCAATCAGAATGAAAAGTTATAAATTGTGAATAGACTGCTGTGTACGCAACAAACCGTTACGGAATTGTAAAGCACCTATCACATGAGCAGATTCTTATATGGATCGACAATTGTTTATGTGTGTTTATATCGGCGATAACGGGTAATTAAAAAACGGCAACAATTCAAGTGTTATCAGTAAATTTGAACACAAGTCAACCCAAGCGTGTATTGCCGTCTCCCGTGCATTCCTTTGCTGTATTGCCGAAAAAGAAACAACTTGACAATTCACGTAAACGTCATATGGGCGTGCAGATATAGCCGTCTCTTTCAGTGCCACAGTTCATAATTATGCTGACCGTGACATTGCCCCTTCTCTCGCTCAATATCTTCGTCTCATTCCGGAGTGTGGTTGCTTCTGTCGCACGCATTCGTCTCCTTCTTGTTTACAATTGTCATTATCATATAAACTCGCAGCTGTTGTTCAATATTATTTTTGGTTGATATTCTCACACGAACACACCACCGTTCTTCGAGTGTGAGTGTGTGTGCGCGGTTTTCAGTCAACAAAAACCAAAACGACGGTTCAGTTGTTGGTGGCAATCTGTTTTTAAAATATTGATAAAACTTGTGAATCACAAAAATAAATACCAAAAAATAAATATAAATAAAAATGCAGCAAACCAGATTAGAATTTCCTTGTCTAAACTGGATTTGATAATAATAAAAACAAAGCATCAACATTCAGTTCAAGAAAGGAAAGTAATAAGTCTCAATTGACTAGACTTAGTGCGTCAATCACCAGTCTGTCATTTATAAGTGGAAATTAAACGCAATAAAACTACGAAATTACTATTTCGTGTACTTGGTGAAAAAAAATTTCTTCAGTGAGGTTCGAATGTGCCATTGATTCGCTTTATGCTCTTGTGAACTTCAGTCATTAAACAAACATATTTTCACTGATTTTTTTATTTTATTTCAATTTTTTTTCCATTTCAACAGAAAAATGTGTATATTGTTCTTTATTTTGAATGAAAACGCCAGAGATGACGAATACAAGTTAATTTTGGCGTCAAATCGAGATGAGTTTTATGCTCGACCGGCAAAAGTCGCCGGCCCTTGGAAGGAAAACGAATTTGTTATTGGTGGACGTGACATGGAACCAGGTATAAGAGAAGAAAAATAAACAAAATTAATTACAATTTAAAAGTGAATAACAATTTCATTCAATAAAAACAGGTAGAGAGGGTGGCACTTGGTTGGCAATTAGTACAAAAGATCATACATTCAAATTTGGTGCCTTATTAAATATAACGGGTGAGAAAAAAGGTCCCGATGCACTGCCAAGAGGCAACATCGTCGTTGACTACGTACAAAAACCAATAACAAATGCTCAATACTGCCAAGATCTCATCGACACGGACAAAGAGTATAATGCATTCAATTTAATTACCATTGAAATCCGGTGGGTATTACATATAATAATGACGATAACAACAATTTGTTTGTATTATTATTATTGTGCACTTACGTCATTTATTTGAATATTAAAACCTATTAAACATTCAATTAATATTCATAATCATAACAAAATTGCAGTGAACGAATCAAAACGATATATTATTGTAATGTAAACAATGAAGCGCATCAATCGCTGCAGAATGAGGTGTTGGGCTTTGGGAATAGTTTAACACATCAACCGCTGCAGAAAGTGATAGGAGGTCGGGAGAAATTCCGTGCAATTGTAAAAAGGCAGAATCAGTCAAAGGAAGAGCTGGTTAAAAGCCTCAACGAATTGTTATCGGATCGAGAAAAACACTGGCCGGATGATGAATTGCACCGTAGAGCACCAAATTGGTCCGAACATTTGTGTTCGATATGCGCCAGAGTGCCCGCTGCTGAATATGGAAGCAGGTATGTTTATTAAAATGCTTTTATGAGACCAATTCGACTTGATGTCAATTCGGGTGCTATTCATTATCTTCTTTGTTTCAGAACGCGAACAATCATTTTAGTCGATGGCAATAATAAAGTGGACTTTTATGAAGAGACAATGGCAACAACTGACCCAGACGGCGAATGGATACGCACTCACATTCAAACTGAATTTTAAACCATCCAAGGGATTCAAACCAACTGTAGTTAATATCAAGTTTAAATTACTCGTGTTTGTGCCCAAAATCGTATTGTATTGTATAAGTATTAGCACTGAGTTTATCTTGACTAAACAGCAACAATGCATTTAAATAAATATTTTTACTACACCGATGCAACTTCTATACCTTTTTACTTCAAAATCGAATAAAAACATTCGAATTCATTCGACTCTTTTTTTCAATAGGGATTTTTTAAGCGCTGATGTGTGCAATGGTGCCATCTATTGGTGGACTTTTGAATCGAAAATCGATTTGAATTAATTTTTTTTTCTTATTTGAATCAAAAATGCGTCTAAATATTGAAAATTTTATCTAGAATATTAATTTGTATTTTAATACTAACTGTCAGAAGAATTTTTTCGAAAATTTCCATATTTTTGAACACTTTCTATGCATTTTGACGTTATGAACAGAAGAACTCTGTTTGCACTCTGACACATTTTCGTCCTTTGAATGCGACACTATATTCGATAGTTTTTTTTTAGCACAATCTTGATATGTCAAAACAAATGCAGTCTAACTTTATTGCTTAGTTGATAAGGAATCATTGTTTCGGAAAATGGATAAAAAAATGTGTACACACATTCTGAAGGAAGGAAAAGATCGACTGGAGCGTGAAAATGATGATTTCATGCAAGCACTTAATAAACGGATTGATGCTGAATCGAAATTCATATTGGCATTAGATCGCTTATCAAGAATGACGGACTCGGTAAATGACATTTTAAATCTTCAGGAAGAATTTAATTCGGACAAAGAAGATGCGCTAATCATTGCCAGTGCGAAAAAGGAACGCAAATTTATTGCCGATTTGAAAATGAAGCTGGACCGAGAGACGAAACTCACAAGAAAACGATCACATCAATTGAACGGAATTTCCCAAGAATTCAAGCGCATGCCTGGCATTGAGCCGCCGACTATTGTTGAAATTCCTGACTCGCCGCCAAACGAACTCCAATCGGTCGATGACAGTGACAGAGGCAACATTCCACAATTCACAAAGGTAATTCATTTCATCGGTGTTCATTTCAACCGAAGATTTGAACTGATACTTGTAGGTGACGCAAAAATCGTCGATGGTTGTGCCTCCAATTCCGCGTATGACAGATGAAAAATTCGAACAAGCGGCCATGCTTTTAAAACAATCATCAGCTGTAAACGGTGAAGCTGATATGCACGATCGCGATGCGTCCAGATACGGTTTTGATACATCCAAAAAGAGGGACGCCGTGTTGAAATTGGCCGAAAATACACCAAAACCACCGCCGTTCCATTTTCCATGGGAACAAGACAAACAACAACACACGCGCCCAGACAGTCGATCAGGAAAACAACGCACGCGCCCAGATAGTCGATCATCAGAAGATTCCAACAGCCGATTCTATCCGAATGCAAATGCAAATGCAAAGAAAGATCAGCGTTTTGTTGATCCGCATGAAAAACCACCGCATTCAAGATACTGAAAAAAAAAAATTTCTCAAAGAGAGTTGAAACTGGAAATTAGTTTTAAGGCAAAAAATATTGTTGACCAAGCAATTAAAGTTGAAGCAACCTTTGAATTGACTAAAATAAATGATTGAATTGTTTATTGATTCCTCAAGAGGTTTTATATATAGGTTTTTTTTTGTGAAAAGATAAAGCACGCACTATTCTTTGGGCTAAATTTCAACACTCAATGAAGAAATGTTGCTAATTGTCTAATTCGATGATGTGTAATATAACTTAATTTTATCACAGGTACTGTACACTGACAACATTACTACTTGCTTAATGTACGAACTAGCTATAAACAGTCCGAAGAGAATTATTTGCTATCGATTAAGTTATGCCATATAGAACTTATACTCAATTGAAATGTCTAATGTTTAATTTCTGTAGATCTCGCTATATTTTCATTCAAATATTCAAGCGATATGACCGAAAAGAAAACTACTTGATATTATTGACACTTTGAATTCACGTACTCTGGTTTCTAACAACTAAACGTCTTATACGATATTTTTGCATTTTTTTTGGCACATTTTGGTACGAACATTTACTAATTGACTTCGGCTAATCATTTGAATCGATGAAATTTATGGGTAAAATATACTAAAAAGAGTAAATTCTTTGAAACACTATCGATAGAGCTATCGTTAAAACAGTTAAGTATGAATGACATGTGCTAGATGAACTAATTTGTAGATCTATATCTTGTGGTCGTACAACATTGGCCACCGTCAATGCACTCAGCGCAAGGTCGCTTGTGATCCGGTGGCTCTGAGTATCGATCAATGTGGCTATTTTTTCTGCTTCGCGAACACAGGCTTCATGTTGTAATTGAGATAAATTGGGTCCGATGGTGTGAACAATTATGAAAATATCAGCTTCGATCGTTAGGTAGCCGCTGACTCGACAATGAGCCACTTGAATCAGATTATCCAGTGCACGTAAGATGCCATTCAATGTGAGTAAATCGGTATTTTTGCCTTTCAGAGTGAATAATACTCGATCGATTTGCTTCCGAGAATAGATAATCCGAACGGCTCCACCACAAACAGGGCAACAGGCACCAGGTGGAATAATAGCACCCTCAGCGCATTTCATATTAAAATTGCATTTGACCGAAGCACAACGTGGGCCCAATGTATTTGTCAATAGACCAATTTCACGACATTCACCATCATAGTCCGCAATAGAGTAATCTGAAAAAGGTTAATTTGACACAATGATGAAATTAATGAATCATTTCTCAAAACGGAATCACAAGTAGATGTTAGAATAAAGAAAATGGAAATTAATGCAATCAAATATGAAACTAACCGCTCCACGCTTCGCATTCACTTCTATAACTAATGCCGTTTATTCCACAAACACGAGTTTTGCGACAACTATCGATACATCTGCCCGTATACGCAAGTGTTGCCTTTGCTTTCACCATGTGACACATTGATGCGTATGTTTGACCTTCCACACTGCAGACAGGTTTATCTCCAGCACGACAGTTTGATGTTGTGTTGACTGAAATATTTAACGGAGTTGAAAAATATGTACATCTAAAATTACAAAAAAAAAACAAGTCCACTTACTGCATTGGTACTGTCGACATGGTCTTTGCATAACTGATAAGCAAACTTGTCTATTTTCAACGCATTGCGAATAGCCGGGACACTTGGCATCGCGACACGGATTGTTATCGCGACATGACCGAAACTCAATATCGGCCACTTGAAGACCGGAGCATTTCGATACACATTCCGATGGATATGTATACCCGTTTCGACCGCAAACGGGCACATGATGAGGAGCGCAGTTACACGGTAAGCTTGTATAGTGGTTCGAATGCTCGGGAATGCCTGGCATTCGACACTGTTTCTTTGTGCATGTTATATCACCGGCAAAGCAACTGCAAATATTACACTCCACATGAAACCAAGTGCCATGTTCGATTTGCCTATCGCCCAATTTACACGAATCATAAGTCATGCATGGTATTGGTTGACAATCGTCCAATCGGCCGTTAGCCATGCAACGACACACTTTGAAACATCCTTTCTGCTTCATCGATACCGGAATACGAGCATATGCTCCGATTGGGACTAGATACGATGATGTTTCACCCAGTGGACAACCAGGAACACAACGAAATGTCGTTGATACCGTAACACTGTGATGATCACGCTTGTTATCCGGTACACACACTTCGGTTGCATTGCATGTATGTCCGCGACAAGGTGAGATGATTTGATGATTTGCTGCCGGCCAACTACTTTGTGGCACATCACTCGGTTCCAGGTACGGTTTGAGTGAGATACATGGTGACGATGTGTTATCAGAATCAACGGAAAATTTTGAACAAACTGACTCGGGCGTGTGTCTTGTTTCCATTCGTGTCCAGTCTATGCATTTGTCTAGCAAATCATAACAATCTTCGCGACAAATTTGAGTGGTATGTTTGGTGCGTGAACATGGTTTGATTTGTAAAATGCATGCAATTGCTTGCCAAACTCCTGGTTCGCATTTATCTATGTCTTTTATGGGTAGAATTAATCCAGGCAATGTGAGTGCTTGGTTATCTCTCCAAAGTACCATATCAGCTTGAGCAGCATAATCAGCATTGGAATTGCAGCTTCTGAAGAGCTCCGTTGGACGATTGTTGAAATTTGTGCAAAATGAGAGAGCGTCACAGCCCAATTCACAGGGTTCATCAACTGGAATAAATAATTTGGTTAATTCAAAAAGCCTTTTCGATTCATTCGTTGATATGAAATTTGAACATGAATTTTACCTTCATCCAAACATTGCCTCAACGAAATTTCATTCAATTCCGAATAGCAATCATTTTCGAAATCGCTGCGTGTCTCCGTCCAATCGTTTGAAAATGTTTGCGAACAAAGACGGCGGCACTTTGGTGACAACGCTTTGTGACAGCAATGCAACTTCGCCGAATCGATGCCGATTTGATTTATTTGAGAGATCATCGTTCCATCGGGTAAAGATGAATGCGATGGATGATGGTTACCCGAAAGAAAACACTGCCATAGTGGTTCGTGTGGCAATGGAGGCCCACAACCTCCTTTTGATAATGTATCAATGATCTCCTGCATTGTTTCACCAATCTCCAGAATATTTTTGCACGTCTCTCGACAGATCGGTGAACGGGAATGACCACAACAAGGTATATCTGTGGAAATAATTTGAATGAAATCAAAAGAAATTCATTACGATTACAAAATCACTAAAAAAAAGAACATCTCAATAAAAAATAGTCCGAAATTCGTGGAATCACTTACATTGTCGTGGGTTTTCAACTGGTGTCACATCCATAATTTCCCTTACACAGTTCAGCACCTTCAAATTGGTATTGTTATCGTTGCAAGCATGCTCTACCAATCGTCGTTGCTCTTTTGTAGCCGTTTTCTGACTCTGGAATATGTCGCGACATGCCTTCGAAACAACCCAAATCATTTTTTTTTTTTCAAATTTTTCTTGATTTAATAGATGACACGCTGCGGTTACTTACTTGCAGACATTCCGAAGATCTTGCATTGCCGCAACAGTTATCGCCCTGCTCTTGACGTTCGAAACAATCAAATAATGTTTGTTCATCACTTCGACGACACACTGTGTCTTGACTGCTCATTGATATAGCGCATGTATTTTGACATGTAACTGTTATGGCATGCTGGCAACACATGCGCCCCGACCACGCCGAACCCCGATGTACGGCTATGTGAAAATGGAAATTTATAAATGAAATAACTTCATTATTTAAACAATATTTTCAAAATTTACCATGCAAAGTGCGGTTCATGCATTGCCAAAAGTCTGTTTGTACCGATGGACAATTGTGACGCAATTCTGTTAATCCAGCATCTTTTCCATTGATGCTCGTCGTTGCCAATTGCACCAGAGATAACTAAAACGATTCCAAAAATAAGATTGATATGAAATTTTAAAAATGACTTGTTAAAATCTTCTAATTTTTCTTGAATTTCACTTGTGAATTGATGCATCAAAAGTAAAAAAAAAACTTTGATAATTTGTTGATGTTAGCTGATATTTCTAACAATCGCATAAAATCTATAGCTTCAGCGTAAAAAATCGATCTCATTTAAAAAAAAAATGGAAGTTAGAAAAATTTCAAACTCATTGAATATGTGTAGAATAAAAAAAACTTGAATGAATCAAGTTTCTCATTGTGGTCTACGCTACATCATCATCATCGAAAAAACGATATGAATGAAAGATTTTATCACCAAAATGATCATCTTTCAATTGATTCAATCGACTTCTGTTTTGACAATAAACTATTGAAAGCAATTAATGGAACAAAAAGCAAATATTGTTCGCACACACACTCAATCGCTCGGTTCCTTTGTCTTCAATTGAAATATTTTCCCATTTGCAATATGTGCATTTCAATGACAATTTGTCGCTTTGCTGTGAGTACAAACGAGACGGTCTTTGCTTGCAATTTGATACTTTTTCTTCAATGTGCAGTGCAAAGGAAGACAAGTAATAAAAGACGAATAGAAAAAAAAAACAAGTAGACAAGCATTAAGTATTTATCCGAATCCAGATGATGGTTTCCGAAATCTCTTGACATCAAAAAAACCCAAAAATGTTGAATGTATCGCACCATTCAATTGTTCAATGCACACATATTTCAAAAATCAACCTAACCAAACCGAACACATGTGAATGAAACATGAATGATTGACATGACTTAACCTTCGAAATGTGGTTTTTGTTTGAACATTCTCCAATTTTTCCCAATACATGGAAAAATCAAATCAACAACAATCGTTCCGCATCGAATAAACTTGCCGTTAATTGCTGCAGTAGACGCTAATTTAAGGAGTACAAAAATAACTTACGTTTTCGCAAGACGAACGACACGATCCAAATGAGATCTTGCAACAGCTGAACAAATCTGAAAAAAAAATAAATGAAAACATAAAAAAGGTGTGGAATTAGACGTGACAAATCAAAATCGGTTTTCTACTCTTTAAATGTATAATTAGAAAGCACTTAAAATTCGTATCATATTCATAAACTGGATGTGTATGAGTAGAAATTTGCATATAAAGTTTACGATGAAAACTCAAGTGAGGTCTGTCCGAATTGAAAATAAGGCAATGCCTTCAATGCACACGTTCGAGGGAAAATATTATGCAAAATGTTCAGAAAAAAAATCTGTTTGAGATACAGAAGGATTTATGAGTATGCAAACGCATATGTTGCACCGGCTTATCGATGTGTGTACTTGCAAATAAATGATTTTCAATTCGCACTCATGGCGTTTGTGTTGTGATTCCATTTTTAAAATAGAGAAGGAAAAAAAACACACACACACACACAGCGAGCGACATAAGTAACAACATTGGCCCGAGGCAGACTAATTCAACGTAAAAATTGAAAATGGCACGACGCACGCGCTTGTCACTCTCAATCACTTGCTGTTACACGTTTTCTTATTAATTGCAAAAAAAAATTTCGTCTTTTGCACAAGGAATTTTCTGCGGAGCAGCTAAGATATATTGGATGCATGTGTTTCAATTCCGAACTGGTTACTCTCGATGGCAGTGATTTATCGTCGCGTGGAGAGAGAAACAAAACCAAAAAACAAAACGAAAAGAAAACACACGACAAAAGTGTTGTTTTTTTTTTCTCGAAATACGATGCGAGTAATGCAAAGAGCGAATTAAAAGTGTCGCTAAAATTAGATTAGTGCGAATAGGAAAGCGAGATGAATTTGCCAGGAGAAATGTGAAAAATTTCCGTTTGAGTGATTGCTTTCGTCTAACGATCATGAAATGTTTCCTGTGATCGTGATGAAAATATGTACAGTGTACACACCGCAATCTGTGCGCGCGCATGTTCTTTTTTTATCGCCGTTGAAATAAGCGGACAAGATCAAGATATACACTTTAGGAGTATTTCTTTAGAATTTGCATCCAAATGATTTCCAATGACTCTAATGCTCACTAATTCGCTCGAGTTATTTTTGAAATAGTGACTGTGAATATATATCCATGATGGAAATGAAGCGATTTAGATGCTTGCCTGGATAATGTATCATTTGCACCCGACGGATCGGATATGTACACGACATGCTCTGGCATCTGTCACCGTGTATTGCGCGTTGTTCAAATATTTGAAGATTAGTTTACTATTTATTTTTTATCTTCGAAGCAGACAAAAAACGATCGCTATAGAGTAAACAGCAGACGCATCGCACCAACCTACAAATAGATACAAATCAAACGATTCTCGGGCTTCTAAAGAATCAAATTAGTGAAGTCATTTCAAACAAACACTGTCACAGCTGATGACAACAGGATCAAAATACAACAAATAATTATTGTTTGTTTTTCCACCGTCTTTGATCAACAGCTTGTCAAATAATGACAAGCAAAACGACGGTTTTTTTTTCTTTCGTTTACGATTGCGTCCAGCGCAACAAAATATAAAACGAGTTTATTTTTCCATTCGCCACCAAATATACAATAGATAGAGAGAAAAATATACACAGAGAACAAGAGTTGGCAACAACTTCAAAGCGACCAGATTCAAGGCAATAATTATACATTAGAGTGCGCAACTTCAAAGGCAAATATCAATTAATGCGACGCATAATTTCTTTATGGCGCAAATTTACTCAGCGTTTCTGATTTGAAACCCATTTTTGAGAATGCTTTTAGCGAGGAAAATTTGGTATTTTGTGGCGCAACGAAATGTGTGTAAGAAAAAGAGAAAGTACAAAAAATCGTACGTAACTAGAGTGTATGACGTTTTTGACAAAACGCATTAGCAAAAAACAATTGCATTTTTTTGGCAAAAAAAAACTCGATTTTACACCAGTTCCGGTCACAAAAATGAGGCCCACATTTAGTTGAATGCAGGTATACGAAGTTTCCAACACGTTTAGATTCTCGACGAGTGACCATTGTCGTTTTGACTATAATCAAGTCCAACAAAAATGATATTCTCACCGTCGCCAAATATTTCGTCGAAAGATCAATAACCGATCAGTCCAATGTTGATTGAAAATGTATAAATAAATTATCCATTCGATGTTGATGATGTTGTTGAGTGCAGGAAATTCACATCAAATTTCATCGTTCACAAAGGAAACATACAAACAAAACACATATCGCGCGCTCTTTTGCATATGTACGGATGAAATATGATACTTGAAACGTTACTTGTCCAACACCTCCCGCTTGCACACAGGTCATTTGGCTGGTTTCAACACTGACTGAATGATTTAGAAACAGTTATACAATAAATTTTTACTATAAATTTAACGACAAATCGCAAGAAACGACAACGACATCACAATATTCAGGCTGTTGCAATTGTGTGAGCTCGTGTGTATGTGTGTATGCGAGAGATAGCCTTTGCCACTTTGTCTTCGATCATTTTTCATTTTATTCGAGTCAAATTACTTGGCATCATTTTCATGTTCACAAACTGCTTGCGCTGATAACAATCAAACATACAATCCATCGATTGTGCGTGATTCTCTTATTATTCCGTTGAGAGTGTGTCCTCCCTCTCCGCTCAATCGGTTTGTGTGTATTCGTCATTCTCTTTCTATCTCTCAGTTTGTTTTGTCTTCATCAGTGGTCTTAATATCTCAACTGGATTTTTTCTCTCTTTCTCCATGCGTTCGTGTTGTGTTTATTAAAACGACCGATTCGACAATAATAATTTTGTTTTTTTTTTTTAGTTTCGTGTGCGTTGTAGATTTTTTTTTCAAGTGAATGCACAAAGCATTTTATATTTCTTTTCTTGGTCTTTTCTTTTTTTTCGTTTGACTCAGTCTATTCTTTTATTTGGTCTCCAAATGCATAAATTTGTTTAAATAATATTCAATGATGTGGTAAACGACTAAAACTGACGACCGCTGCTACGTGATGAATATTATTAAGTGGCATTAATTTGACATTTGCTCATTTATATTTTTGACTTTTTCTCCTTCCATTCGACGGATTTACGATTGAATTCCATCGACATCGTGCCGAGTTGAAAAATCGTTTAATGTTTATTTTGCGTCTCATGGAATGAGGCAAGTGTTAAGACTTAGCTTAACACTTTGAATCGGAAGAGTAGCACATTGAAATTCTCGACAGAACGGCTGAAAGGACGGAAATGCATTTTAAAGCAAACGATTTAATTCTATGAGATCATAGGCTCGGAAATGCTTACCGCAAAAAAGCGAACAGCAATGAAATTGAAGTGCTTCGAGAACACACATTCTTTCATGTTGTTTTGCAGCTGAGAGTTTTTTTCTCAGCTTCTGTAATTTTGATTGTGCTAGAAACTGACTCAGTCGCATGAAATTCGTTAATTGATTCAATTGAAATCAAACGATGGACTCTAACACTACAATTTTCATTCGTAGGAAGCAATTTGCTTGCATTCGTCAAGAGCCCCTCAGAAATAATTCTACTGTCTTTTATTAATTCATATTTTGCTCCTCGAACTAATCCGTTCGAGCAATTCCGTATGGTTGTCATTTAGTAAATACCACTACTTAGTGATACTGAAACAATGGCCAGACAACTTTTATTGAACATAATTGAGGATATGAGGGCATTTTCGCTTCGTTCGCCTATAGCTGTAGTCTTCGACTGGGATGCACGTCATCAATAATTTACAATACAATGCGCTACGCACATTAGAGTCGACTAACGTGAATATTTGCGATCAAACTGGACGACAATCTTCAATTGAAAATACAGAGTAGTTTTTTTGAAAATGAGAGCATTTTCGATGATATGCATTCATTCTCAATACATTTTAAATTTTTAAATGAAACTGTGTCATCTGCCATTATCATCGTTCGCTTGTTATTGTATTCTGCGCGGGTCTATTATGCTTTTGTTACGAATTCATGTGGTCATCTTGAATTTTTTACGCCTCAATCGCATACATGTCGTAGGTATATTCTACTTGACGCTATCATCGCCGACACACTTTCAATACAATGAGTGTCAAATAGATACCCGTTGTCATCGCACCATATTCATTTGACTAACTTCAGTAACTACTTGAACTCATTTGTTTAAAAATAAAATTCATATTGCTGCAATCGATTCATGTTTGAAATATTCAGTTGTGTTCTCTATTGCATCGCGTCACTCCCCCACAGCAAAAAGAACAGCATAAACGGTTCATATCTGTGGCATAAGTAATAATTTAGTCGTTTCAATAGAGGTGATTATGTCGATCCATTCAGGTATTGTATCGATTTCAATTCACCCTTCGCCACAATTGGTGTATCTTCAATAAAACAATAGTGATACGGCCGATTACAAGAATAGTGCATTGTGACCGCAATTCTTGCTTACTTGAAGACATGTGCCCAAAAATAAATGAGTCACTTTAATTGTTCGCCTTAACAAATACGTACTATCGAAATGGTTCGTTCTTTGACCGTAAAAATGGTGATAAAACAAAGAACGAAGATACATTTATTCTTAGCTAGATTGTATGTGGTGAACGGAAGCACATTAAAAATTTACGATCCATTTAGATAGTTGGACTATCATCGTGTTATGCATTTCAAAACTATCGGAAAGTTTCATTGTTCTTTTTTTGTTTTGATGGACAACCGATTTTCCCTTATTGCTTGATGCACAAAAACTGAAACTTATCCAGCAGCAATGTTATAGACTATTATCCATTGGTCACTTGAAAGTGGTTTATTATTTACCGTCATTCACAAAATCGATGCGGTGAAATTGAATTTTCATTCTAAAATGAATACCGTTGATAAAATGTTAACGGCACATGTCAACGACGAGGATTAACATCACACTATTTCAAAGCAATTTAGCTAATGGGCCACCAATTTCGAGCAGTTTGATTCAATTTCCTTGGGAATATTGATTAATCGGAAAATGTTCGAAAATATGAAAAAGAAAGTTGTTGCTTACCGGGTGCTTCATTCGAGCCAAATTGACTGGAATTCGGATTTGATTCTTGTCGATATTCATTTGCATCATCCGATAAGTAGTCTCTATACGCGTAATGACCGTTGATTACGTAAAACACAACGAGCAATTGAAATGTGAGCACAACCATTTTCGAGTCTTGATTATTTATCCACGTCATTTCTTTCTTTTCCTGTGTCTACTTTTGAAGACGATTCACTTCAACAGAACTTTTTGACTCGCAACAACTCTTCAGATCAAGTTGTTCATTCGCTACTTGAACTCAATAACGAAAATCTTGCAATGTTCTTGAGTGACAGGTCTGTAGAAAAAAACAGCATATTTCACGAACAACAACACTTGATACACATGCTTATGATGAACGATGCGAGCGATTCTAAAAAGTCAATTTCACACCATATGAGCCCAATTTATGTGCACATCTTTTGGTGATGTGAACGAATTTTCGTGATGCGGTTTGCGATATACCGAAGAAAAAACCGCGAGAGAATGAGAAAGATCGAAATGAACAAAATAAAAACAAACACTACCGACAACGACGTACAATAAACCATCCGTCATTCTCTATTCATATTTGATTTCGTGTAGTGCGTTCCGATTTATTAATCATTCGCAATTCACTTAACGATGTTTATAGATGCAATTTACATACATAATATCCACCAGGCAAGAAATTAACTGCTTAATTTTTATTAATGATCAGTTTCACACCAGTTGAGTTTATATTTCTTCTGTTGCCACACACTTACGTCTCAATCGGTGTTTGTGGTTTGGTGTGGTGTGTATCAAACGCCGTAAGTCTCTCGCACTCACTAAGTGTTTCGATGTAAATTTTTTTGTTTTGCCGGTCGCGCATATAAATGCCAACTTGTGCGCCCGCTCGGTACCAGATAATAAATTTCGATTGCGACCGCGTTTATTTAGCATGTGAAATCAACGATGACTTTTGCGCACCAGAATCTCTTTTCGTGTGGCTGTTTTCGTCGTCGTCGTTGTTGCTGCTGACGTTATTGGCCTGTGTCTCAAACTGCATGCACAGAATTAATGATTATTATGTGCGTTATTTGATGTTTGTGTGAATGTTTTTTCGTGTTTATTTACTCTTGGACTGGAGTCTATTTTCATTTTATTTTTGGTGTGTGTTGCTTTTTGTGCGATTGTATGTGTTCGAAAATTGTTCGAAAAATGAGTGTCCACTGAATCGATCCGAAGTGATTCTGATTATATTATTATTCTGTGCAATGTGTCAATTCTTAAAGAGGTTGTTTTTTTCACTCTCTCTCTCTCTCTCTCTCTCTCTCTCTCTCTCTCTCTCTCTCTCTCTCTCTCTCTCTCTCTCTCTCGATCGTTTTAACTCTGTGATTATTATTGACTCCAATTAGAGGCAAAGTGTTGTACGTTTTCGAAAGATCTGCGGATTTTATGAATTTCTTTGATCGTTGTTATTGCCTATTTGATTACGTTTCTATTTACTCGCTCTTTTTCACCATATTCTTCCCGCCTTAAACCGTTGTTTTCTCTTGCTTTTTTCACTGGCGTCAACACAATTTTTCATGGAGTCTAACCAATCGCATTTTATGGTCTCACTTATGTTTAAAATCGTATTCTAGTTCGTTTTACTTTTATTGACACTTAAATTTTTCTTTTATTGATATGTTGCTGTATTCCTCAGTTTGCTTCATTTCTATTGCACTTTAATCATTCGGGTGATTGAGAGGAGAAACAAAAAATGTGGTTGACAGTTTGTCTGATTATTTTTTTACGGCTACAAGTGTGACTGAAAGAAGGAGAAAAATGGAAATGTATTTTTGTATGCCCAATCGACCATCGATCTCAGTTCTATTCTCAGACCAGACGCTACATCCGACTCATATGCAAACCATTCCAAAAGAACGAAAAAAAAGATGCCATTAAAATGGTATTTTATGGGATTCTCCGACCCGTTCACTCATTAAATCAGCTCTGTCTTTTCATGTCATTTCGATGGCATGCGCGAATATGTGACATGATGAAAACTTACAAACGAATCCGAAATACACACATCATAAAAATAGCTCAGTTTCACTCACAAAAAACGCTTACTTTCCCGACTACTTGCTATTTTATCTCGTGTGATCAGAGGCACTTTGAATTGATATATATTGACGAGAGTGATCTTTTAAATCATTGTAAATTGCTTTTTCGAACCCGAAATCTTCGTTTCATTTATAAACATGAATACAAAGTAGAAAAAAAATGATTCTGTCGCCTGTCAATGTTCACATACACATATATATGAGTTATGAATTGCGTTTTGAGTCACCCACACGTTTGCCAACGACAAGGGAAAATGCAATTTTATCTCCATCTCAAGCGATCAATCTGCATAATCGCTTTAATCTAGATTCCGTACAAGCAGCAATTACGTATAATTGGGCTACCGTCACTCGAGAAACCAAATTAACATGGAATATTTCTATCAAAAGTGATAAATTGCCTGATTGCGTATAATTGTTTAATTTGGCATTTTCCATCGGAACAAATGTTAACTTCGTTCAATAGTTTTGGAATTCCGGGCATGAGCCAGAGATACATTTTTTTTCGTGAGTTAAATCCTTTAGTTTTAATTTCAAGTTTTCATTCTTTGAACTGACAGTCGAGATAGAGATCACTTTCTAGAGGAAATGCATGTTTTGTTTTGAACATTTTTTTCGGCATCGAAACTAAACTCGCGTACTTTTGTTGGAAATTCAAACGACACAAATTGATTGGTGTGGAAAAAAACTGCCCGAGATTGATACTTCCAGAGTGAATGAAACAATTTCAATCAATGCGTGATTAATTGAAATTTTCGCATATCACAGCCACATCTTCTGTTTAAAATATTCACAAAAAAAATATTTCAAGTACCATAAAACTTAACTCCACACAAAAACAATGAACCGAACAAAAATGAATTTGAAAATGAACGAAAAAAAAGCATCAGCTCTAACTAAAATTGCCGTTAAACGCTTCGCACTACATCTTACACGGAAAACGTTCACCAAGCGACTGTTCGTGCCGAACGATGTACACTATGGCATACACAGAACTCGGTGTGACCAACCGTACTCGGCAAATGTGTGAATGAAATGAGCGGCGACAGAATCTACGCTCAGCAGTCACATCACATTTATAGGCTCGATGGATCGCATCGCATCGTTTGTGTGAAATCAATGTGTGGCGTATGTCATATGCATATGCTTTGCTTTGCCATGTCCATACGTTCATGCATAATAAATGTACGTATGGATTTTGTGGACTCTTTACGGTTTATTTTATTGGATTTTTTTTTGACATCGCTCTGCCTCGTTCCAATTCAAACCGATTGAGGTGATGTGAGATTCGCACTGCAATGTCGCATTCAATTTTTTTTTTCGTGAATTATTGTCACAGTAGCTTGAATGCACACACAATAAGCACCTCAATTTAATATTGACACGCGTAACGCAATCACTATGTTGTAGGCGGTAAACTTATGAATAATTTGATGGCTTTGGTAACATACTTTGAAATCCGCTTCATATTCCATAAATCAATAATAAAATGCAATTGATTCAGTCAGATATGAAAATTAGAATTTTATTCACTCCGAAACGTCTATTTGACCTGCCTTAAATGCATTACAATCAATAATAAAAGGCATCATTTTGGAATTTCTTTGGACAGAGGCAACCGTTTGATAAATGATTCATTCGGTTTGTCACAACACTTCATATTCACCGCAGACCGTAGATTCGATAGAAAGGTAATTGAATACATAAACGGTGTTCCGAATTTCAATTATTCAATTTCAAAATTTGATGAAAATACCAATTTATTTCGTCCATTGCTCACAAGAACCGAATAAACATAATTTCGACCCCAAAATACACGAACGAAAAAATCATTTGAGCTGGATGAAGCATTTTTATCTATTATCCCTTCGTTATGCAGTTTTCTAATCATCCTTCACTCCAACGCCTGGCATTCACTTTAAACACGTAAGAACAAAACAAATATCTTCGAATTTGAATTCAATACGTGGTTTCGTTTCTGCCTCTGGCCACCTGATGCAAAATGGCGCTGTCGTCACCTGTCAACGTAACAGCATGCATTGCATTGTATTTGTTACTCTGGTAAACAGATTGTCAAAATAAACGATTTACAATCGTTCGCAGAGTTTCGTTTTTTAAAACATTTCTAATAAACCAGAAAAAGGATGTCAGACCCAGAGGATTTCGATGACCAAGAAGAGATGGATGTTGATCTTTCGCAAGCCGATCCAGATGACGACGTATCGGATGAATTGACCGATGTAGGCGACAGCGGTGATTCAGACATCGATGAAGAGGTGCAGTTGTATGAAAAATACGCCGAAATTTTGGGTCAAATCTCTGCCGACATTTACGGCTACGATAATTACGTTCAATTGGTGCAAGTGGCACAGTAAGTTTTCCACAAAATATATTTTGAAGCAGTTAGCAATCAAATACTGATTTATTTTGACATTTTGTAGGCAATTAAATGACTTGGATAAGATCAGAGAGAGTTGTGAGCTGTTTAGTTCGCAATTCCCATTGGCTCCTGAGATTTGGACAAAGTGGCTTCAAATCGAATTGACCATCGCAACTAGCCAAGCTGAGCTGGAGCATTTGCATGGACTGCTCAAAAGGGCACTCGCTGATTATTTTTGTAAGTACGCGGGATTTTTTTTTATTTTGTAAAAACAAAAAATTCGAAATTTTCAATGTTTACTTTGTAGCGGTTGCAGTAGGAGGACTACACGCACAAATGGCTTCGAAATTTCCGAATGCTCAGGAAATTTGGGACGAAATTCTGTCAACATATGCCTTGGATTGTATGGAAGGCAGTACATTTTTTAAAGATTGGCGCAATTACTACACCAAACAAGTGCCAGAGTAAGCGTTTTTTTTTTTCAATTTTCATTTTTCAATCAATTTTATCCACTAACGATTGTTTCAAATGTTGATTAAACGTATTTCTCCTCCTTTGACCAGATCACCCGAGAAAGTCAAAAAGTTACTCGAAACGTACACATACGAATTGTCATTACCTCTCGCTGGAATTCAAGAAACGTATACTGAATTCTGTGAATTCGTCGACAAATACAATGAAGAGGTCGATTGGGAGAAAATCAATGAGACGTACCACAAAGCGAAGGACGGTTTGTGCGCAATGCTTAAATTTGAGGAGGAACTGGTGTCACTCGACGATAAGGAGCATCACAAAAGAGCTTCAATCTTTTTGGAATATATTGAGAAATGTAAAACGTTTCTCAATGATCGCATGGTTCAGATTCTCTACGAACGAATGGTCACGGCTTGTTGCTTGAGTGGTAAATCAAATTTTCTTTTCACTTCCATTGAATTCTGCCTCAGGATTTTGCTCCTCAGCTAAATTGGTTCGATAATCGAATATTTAAGTGTTAAAACAATTTTTACTTCATTACAGCACCGACTTGGGGTAAATACGTGAAATACCTCAAAAGTCGTGAAACTCAGCCGAATGAACGTGAAAAATCGCAAGTGCTCAAACAGACTCCATTAGATGTATTGAATCGTGCTTTGCGCAATTGCACTTGGAGTGCTGATCTGTACATCGAAAAGATACGATTGTGTGAGAAAGCGAACATCCCAAAGGGTGATATCACCCAAATTGCACAACAGGCATTCGAAGCCACAAATAGTGATGTCAAAGGTCATTTAAACGTTTGGTTGGAATATTTATCGTATATCAAACGAAACACAAATCTCAATGATGCAAAAGAAGTGGAAATTCTGCGAAAAACAATGGAATTGGGCCAAGACTCGTTAACACGTCGTTCGGCCGATGAAAACAATGATTTTGATAAACTGTGTGCCCGTATTGAATATGGACCATTACAGAGTGGTGATCATGGTTATCAGCATTACGACAAAGTCATCAAGAATTTTAACAATCAAAATAGAGCTATTCTATGGATTGAATTTGCTCAATTGGACTCAATCCGCGGCGTTGATGCAGCTCGACGGTAATTTTTAAATGATTTTTTTATTATTGCAAAAAAAAAAATTATTCGTGAAAGTAAAATTCAAATCAATTTATTTTGCAGAATTTTCCGCCGTGCCATCAAAATAAAGAATATCGATGACTTTGACACGGTGATGTCATCGTGGAAATCGTTCGAATACGCATACGGTACAACGGATCAAATCCGAGACTGCAACGAGATTTGTGAGAAAATCATCGACAATTACAATAAACATGTGGCCATCAAGGCTAAAGCACAAAAACGTAAGCCCGAAGCGGAAGGTGATTCAAAAATTGCCGAAAAAAAACAAAAGACAGTGGACAAAAGCGCATTGAATCCATTCAAGAATGTGGAATCGAAAAAAACCGAGCCGAAGAAGATTGAGAAACCAGAGATCAAAAAGCCTGAAGCTAAGGCTCAGCCAGTTGAGCAAGAGTTTGGTGAAAAAGATGACGTGTCCATTTTCATAAGTAATTTGGGATTTGAAGTCACAAAAGAGCAGATTATTGCCGCTTTTCCAGAACTGAATATCAAAGATGTGACTTTGATTGCCGCACCGGGTGGCCGCAGCAAAGGCTATGGATATGCTGAATTGAGCAATTCATTCGAAGTAGAGAAAGCACTGTCATTTGATCGACGCTCCATTAGCGGTCGTCCAGTTTTCATAAAAAAGGTCGTACGTGACAAGAACACTCGTCCCGCTTTTAAATATTCCGAAAACAAAGAATCAAATAAAATCTTCATCAAAGGCCTACCGTTCGATACATCAAAGGATGAGTTAGAAGTTCTCTTCGGTACCTTTGGAACGATCAAAGACACCCGATTGGTTACGAGGAAGTGAGTTGATCCATTTTATACAGAGAAAGTGTTTCCAAACAATTCCAATAATTCATTGTGTTGTGTTTCAGAGACGGAAAATTCAAGGGAATCGCCTTTATCGACTTCGAATCAGACAAAGCAGCAAGTAAAGCGGTTGAAGCCATGAATTCGTTTGTTTTCAGAGGTTTTACGGTAAGAAACTGAGAGAAATTCATCGAAAAAATCGAAACGAATTTTAACGCTTTCCTTTTTTCAACTTTTTTTTGCTTATTACAGATCATCGTCGCCATATCAGATCCACCAGCGAAGTCAGACAATCCACGACCAGCAGGCTTTAAGCCAAATACTCTAACTGGTTTTAGAGCGTCCGCACCGAGAAGGTTTGAACTTGACTTATATATTTATTTAGCATAGGATGGCAAAAAGTTGGCCAATTTTGCAATGATTTACCTGATTTCGAATTAATATTTTCTTTTTTCTTCTCAACAGTGAAGCGAAACCGCGGCTTTCTTTCATTCCAACGTCGGTGCAACGCAACGTGACAAAAGCGTCAACATCAGCCGCATCAAATGGAACCTCCGCCGACAAACCATCTACTTCAAAGTCAAACGACTATTTCCGTCAGCTATTGAATAAAAAATAAATCGAAACTCCTCAACACTCATTAATAAATCGATTCGAAATTTATTAAAAATATAATCCAAATGCATTGAAATTGCATTAACAATGTAAAATAAACGGCTAAGTGTTGTGGTTTTATTTGATTTTGATTCCTTTTTTGACGCGAGCCGAAATACCGGATATTTCTCCGTCGTATCGTCTGATTTCTTTTCGTGGAGTTCGATGGGCACCCTTGCGACGAATGATTGCCTTGCGGAACTTGTTGCGATGTTTGACACGTGGATTACGCAATTCCTTCTTACGATATGGTGTGAGACCTTTGTTTTTGGCAATTTGGTATGTAATTTGACGCCGTGCATCATCCTCACCCATTTCTTCTTCTTCTTCACCCTCTTGTGCGTTCTCGTCTTGCTCCGAATCAGATTCCATCGACTTCAATTTTTGTTTGAATTCCGTATCTTCATCCTTTTCAGCGACCGCATCATCTTCGTCTGATTCCATTTCACTCTCCGAATCTACACCATTTTCAAGATCTTGTACAAAACGAAGTTTCTTCTTCTCTTTCTTTCCAGTTGGCACATCAGACACGTCGATCGTAATCTCTTCGCCATCTTTGATTGCCTTTTGAAGTGATTCTAACTGTGGCTTCACAATTGTTGTGTACTTTTCATCGATTTGCAGCAGCAATTGTCTAATTTTAAACAATCGCTGGACGATCGGATGATTTTGGATTGGAATTCGTTTGGCTTTCAAAATCAGGTAAAAGCTTACATTCGTACAGTAATTCAGAATCAATTGATTTTGATTGGAAATAAAATCGACCAGTGGATGACTTTCAATGGAATTCTCTTTGAAATACGCTAAAATTGGCTGCAATAACTCAACACTTTCCGTTAATCGCTGTCGAAAATCTTGTACCAACCCTTCGAATTCGGGTGACTCTTTCTTGAATAGCTGTTCTCTTTGTCGTTGAGATAATTGTGACAAATCCTTTTGCAAAAAGATCTCGTCCGATTTCTTTTTCTTATCATCCTTTTCTTTTCGCTCAGCCGCACCGAATACATCCAAAGTGAAGTCAGACTCTTCCAATTGTTTTGCAAGGCGTTGCTGAATGGCAAGTGCTTCGGTTTCTTCTTGTTCGGCCAATTCTTGTTCGCGCTGATTGTAACTAGAATAGTCTTGATCGACGAAGTCTGTTGAATGGAAACCGGCACGTTTGTTACCCCATGCACGCGAATCTGGGATTCCATCGTCGTCATCACCATCTTCCATATCACTTTCGGCATCGAATTTCTCATCAAAATCATCGTCGTTATCGTAATCTGAAAGCAAACCGATTGTCATTTTGAAATTCGATTGATTTCTTTATGAAAAAAAATGTGTTGATTTCATGCCAAAACTGTATTTTCTACTTACCTTTCTCCTCATCACTGTCATCACGTTGATCAAAAGCCAAAATTTCTTGTTTTGGATCGGTTTTTCGCTGTCTGCCCTTCCGCACCTTCTGTAGCAATTGCTTTTCACGTTCGGTATATTCGTTCTCCGAATCGGATGGCTCGTAATGATCGCCGACATCACCTTTGTTCCTAAACGATATCTTATTTGCCATTTTGTATGCAAATTTCGTTGTTAACAGCTAAAAATGCGATATCTTTGTCTATTTCATGTGTTTGACTTGAAAACCGCGTGCTAATGTTAACATACACAAAGTATTCCCCATTGACACTTGTGCATTCTGACACAATTGACGTCTCCATGGTTGACGGTTTCGCCGACAGGCTTCGCTGTCAGTCATCTGTCACCTGCACACCAAACACATGTGAAATACACATGTAGTTTATCTCGACCTTTTTTCGGAAAAAACAACATTGTTTCACCATTTGGTTGAAGTTTTATTTAGAAAATTGGTAGAAAATATGGCAATTAGTGAGCAAAAGCGATTATTTATTGGAAATCTTCCACCCGACATTCAAGATAATGAACTCAAGCAGGAGTTTTCTTATTACGGTAAACATCAATTGTAACACCAAATGTGTTTACAGTCAATAATTCATAACATTTCATTTGCAGGGGCTGTGGATAAAATTGAAATCAAACATAAAAAAGGACCGGATTCCGATGAAGTGCAAAATACATTCGCTTTCGTCACAATTGGAATCGATGATCGAACGTTGCAGCAATGTCTTCAAGAGTTTAAAGAGCAACAATTTCGTGGTCGATTCATACAAGTCACCGTTGCCCGTGAGAATTTTTTGGAAAAACTAAAACGAGAACGTGAAGAAGCTGCACAACACAAACCGAAGAAAGATGAATCGACTAAAGTCCAAACGGAAACAGTCAAAGCAGTGCTTCCAACCATTTCAACGGGCAATTCGTCGAGTTCAGAAAGTAGTAGCTCTGATGATAGCAGCGAAGACGAGAGTCCACCAACACAAAGCAAGCCAGTTGCCAAGCAAAATGGATCGAAAAAATTTAAATCATCGTCTGAAAGCGAGTCCGACTCCAATGAAAACGAAGACAATTTGGTGCTGAGGAAAAAGTCAAGGATTTTCCTCGAAAATGGCAAGGTGACTAGTGAATTTTTCTGAATGATATTGTTTCGTACAATGAATAATTTGTGTGTTTCATACTTGTTTTTTCACAATTTAGATCAAAATCGACCGCTCAGTGTCCAGTGGTGAAGCAATTCACGTTATCGAATCGAAAGCAAAAAAAGCGGTCAAGAAAGAACTAGACGAAAAATCCAAGAAAGCCGACCAAAAACGACTTGAATCGTTGAACAAGATGAAAAATTCATACAATGAACAGAAGTTAGCCATTAAAAAAGCGTTGGCTGGAGTTGTAAGTTTCTAATTTCATTTTTTTAAATCATTTTTGAGCTCAAAACATGCTAATTATCATTTTTCCACCTAGGATACGGCGAAGAGAAGCAATAAAATCGTGTTCGGCGATGATGACGATGAAGGTACTGCCGTTTCAGTTACACCACAGTCAACGAAAGCATTAACTCAGACAAAAATAAAAGAGAAATTCTCAAACGAAAAGAAACCAGCGCTGTTTGACGATGCAGAAGACAGTGATGATGAGAAAGGGTTTGAGGGAAATTTCGCAATAAAACAGCAGTTCGAAGGCAAAAAGGGCGAGAAACTGAGGAGATTGCAGGATCGATTCCAAGGTGATAGCCGTTTCAAAATGGATTCAAAGTTCATGGAAGATGGCAGCGATGAGAGTGAAACGGAAGGTGGAACGTCTAAACAAAGGGATCAAAAGTCTGTGGCGAAAAGCAGTAATGATATTGAAACGAATGAAACAGACGAGCGTCAATGGCAATTGGATATTTTGGAAAAGGTCATGGGCAAAAAAATATCTGGCAATACGCCGAGAGAAACACAGAAAAAGTTAGTAATCTTTTTTTTTCATTTTCCAATCCCTACTGAAAGAATTTTATCCAAAAATTAAAAAATAAATTTGCATTTTCAGAGCACCACTTTCAATGTTACGTTTCGATCCAACTCGAGCTGAGCACACAAAGTTCGTTGAGCCAAAAGTCAAGAAACGAAAGTCTAAAGTAAACAATGAACCTGAATCAAAGCGACTGAAGACGGAAGAAGATCACGAAGAATATGCGGAACCAGAAAATAATGAGCCACCTGTTTCGATGGACCATTTCTACGAAGTCAGAGGTGATCTGAAAAAGTCGATGGGTACGGGTGGATTTAGTTTGTTGAGCATGTTCAACAGGCCAGCTGAAAATGCAGATTCAACATCAGCCGCTGATAAGCCATATGAAGAGAAATTAATTGCTAAGAACGGTGTAAAATTCCTAGCCGATTTCGATCCGTTCAAATATGACTCGTCCGAAGATGAAGCAAATGATGATAAAAAGAAAAGCAACAATGAATCGAAATCAGAGAGTGATAGCAAAAAATTAAACCTTAAATATGAATCATTTTTCCCATTGAATTCGTCCGATGAACGTGTATCAGGTGAGAGATCAATCTGAAATTATTTTTTCTATTTTCAGCTTTCATTTTGATTGAACTAACATAAATCACTTTTCATTCCACAGAGGGATTAGCATTTTTCAAACCACCCGAAGCAGCCGAGAATGATGAAACAAATTCAAACGAATACAATGACGCACAGAGACAGGAATTGAAGAACATAGTTAAGCGAAAGATTAAGAAATCCATTCAAAACGCGCTACCTCGAAATGCAAAGCCGAACAAGCGGTTCAAGAGGTTCGCCAAGAATCTGTAGAAATTTATTGTTATCAATATCTCCTTTTTTTTAAATTAAAGGCCTATCTGCACTTCGAGTGACAAAAATTTGAAATTACAAAATGTGTTTTTTTTCGTACATTCGTCCATAAAGAGTACTATATTTTGGACACAAAACATTTATCTCGGTGTATATAGTACGAACAAACTAGTTTTGTAGTTTAAAATTTATCTTTGTCATTCGAGGTGCAGTTAGATTAAAAGGACTTTTGTAAAGTATCTTGACGATATGTCGTTTTTTTTCATTTTTAACATAAGTCATGGAGTTGTTTTAAAATATTCTATTTTCAAATGCACCAATAATCGTTGAAATTCGGTCGGCAATAAATAAACGTTGTTGCTCCATTATTATTAGTAAATCCGAGTGAATCCGTCTTATTTATTTTCGTTCATGGAAAAAAGAAAACAGAAAACAAAGCGATTCAAGTTTCTATTCTAAATAAATTCGTTTAAATGGTACATAATTTCTTTGAATGTATGTTTTATGAAATTGTCTACATAAAATGGGAAACGGCTTGAGGAGTTAGGAAATTGTTAAGACTACGGTCAATTGACTACGGAATATATCAATTGACTGCGATCAACTGCACGAATTTGCGTAGAAAGAATTCGAAAAAGTTTTAAAAAAATTTAAGCTGTTTTATATTTGCGCCTTTGTTGTGCGGAATAAATTGAATTTTAATTCGATCGATATTGTATCGATGGGTTTTTTCTGTCAAATATATGAAGATTTGTAATGTACGAAAAATTGCAAATGAAAAAATATTTTAAGATTATTCATAAAAAAAAATCCCTTCAAATTAATTAATTAAAAACGTTGCTAAAAATATATTATTTTGCTTCAACGATGCAAAGAAATTACATGTGAAAACGGAGATCAAAACATGATTCCATCAGACGTACTCATTGTTGCTTCGGTTTGCGCACGTAGGCTTTGATGTAAAAGTCCAAAAACAGAATAAACATAAACGTGTTCTGTATCACACCGATGAGGCTAATGTATTTTGGCCACTGGCAATCGAAGAATAATATCGGGTTCAAGAAGTGAATGACCAAAATACCAAATTGTATCTGCAATTCACGCAAAATGAAAATAAATGCATTAAACATGACCGTATCCAATTTAAAGGGCAACATTTGCATTTCAAATCGATTTGCCTCACCAGTTGGAGTTGTGTTATGTGCTTTTTCCACCATAGTGAATTTTTCATTTCAGGTCGATACGATGTCAAGAAGTAGTAGCCATACATAATCACGTGAACGTATGAATTTATAACTCCGAGCAAAGTGCCGTGACTGCCTGTAGAAAATAGATAGAAAGTGATGATTTGCACAAGTTCGTGCAATGTCAAATAAAATATGCAATTTTCGTAATTACCATTTAAAAATTTAATGTATACGAATGTAGCGGCAACCATCCCCGCATGATGATACACATGCAAAAAAGTTATCTGATTGTTCTTTTTGCGGAGCACAAAAAACACCTGCAAATGCAAATTTAGTAATGAATTTGATTGAATGACATGAGCATGTTGTGTAAGGATTACCGTGTCAAGTAAATCGATAATTTTGCAAATATAGTATACATACGAGGCAAAAATTATTTGTCGCACTGAAAATTAAATGATGTTGATTTATAAAAAAAGATACATTTATTATTCTTCAATTTTGTTCTCACTTTCATATGAGTCATTTGTTGGATCATTAGCTCCGCACGATAGGTTAATCGTCTGTTTCCAATACGCATAGTAGCCAGCCTAGTTGAAGTGCATAAATTAAACGAAATCATTAACATTTTCAATTTCATTTCAATTTCCGCCTATTGTTCCTCCTGAACTTGTTTTTTTTTACGTTCTGAATGCAGAATATTTTGTTTGAATGTAAACAGTGTCATTGTTAATTTGATTAAAATTAATTTACAAAACAGATTTTTAATTTCGACGCTTTGTTTTTACTTACATACGAGCCCATGAACAAATTCAAAATTATTTGAAGAAAATTGTAGATTTGGATGATGTTATTGAGTTCGTAGGCTGGACGAGTTTTCATAAAGTGTTGTCCCCAAACAGTGACAAAATACACGTACCAGGTTATCAGTCCGATGATTAGCATTGGCGACGATGTTAACGGATATTGGACAATCCGTGGATCTGTTGGCATAGAACATTCTGAGTAAATACAATTAATATTCAATCACCGTGTCACATACCCTGATACTCATGGAAAAGCCAATGGTATGTGTTGTAAAACGAACGCAGCACAAGTGCCATTTCTAGCGTGTGTTTTTTCCCACCCTTAGAGTATGTAACAATGTTTTTTTTATATCTTCCCAATATTCCCTATATTTTTTCCGTTCGACTTCTTTTTCTTATTCATTAATCTTTTTGCACTGCTTCAAAGTAACTTTCTTTCATCTCTGCTTTTTATGCTGGATAACTTTGTTGCAGAAAAAAAATTCAATTGAGTCAGAATTTCCGGGAAAAAATGATGAGTTTCAACATGCACTTCTTTTTCATAGTTTTTTCTTCATTGGAAAAGTCACAAACTCATCGATGGCTTTTTTCAATTATCTTGTAAAAAAAAATTTCTTTCTTAATTTTCCGTTTCTTTAATTTTTCACTTCATCACAAAATCGTCCTAGCCGTGCTAACCGTCCATCCAACTGAATCAACGGGCGCAACTAAAGTGAAATTTATGTATGGATTATGAATTTGAAATGTTCATTGGTTGGTTCGCCATAGCGGTTCATGTGTTAATGCTCTTTTTATTCATTACGTCGTGTATGAAATAAAATTATCCAATCATGGCGCTAGTGGAAAAGGTTTACGACCGAAACAAAAACAAAATAAACGGCTATCAAATTGATTTAATTTGAATATTTCTAAGAAATGCTCTAATTTCAGCATGAACTAAGTAAGCCAGAATTGAAAAATAATTCAACGGTTCTACCGCAACGTTATAGTCATTCAAACTAAACTAAATTCTAAATTCACACAATGGTCTACATACAATGACGAACAGCAATGACGAAGGTGATAACGAATGGTACAGGTTAAAAACAATCGGAAATGAACTTTCATTTTTCGAAATATATTTGTGGCAGCGACGTTCTAATTATGACGTCACAAAGCTCATTTTGATAGACCGAAATTTACGTTGGCCAGTTGTTCGGTAAATATTGTGGTTGCTTGAATAATGCGGGGCCCAAAATGAACACACAAATAAATGTTCGCGCACATATTTATTATTCGCAAACAAAAACAGCGAAAGAGTGGCGAAAAAAAGAGAGAAAAGTGAGCGTCATACAAACAATAAACCAAACATATGCGAATTCCTTTGTTTATATTTTCATTTCCATGTTTTATTCTCTTTGCAATGCACTGCAAACGAGGAAAAAAAACTGCAATTGGTTAAAAGTTCAACTCATTCTTTTATACATAGATATGTATATTTGTATGGATTTTTATTTCGGTTTCATATTTATTTTTTTCCAGTTGAACTTTATATATTCATGCATAACTCTATCTCAAAATTCATTTTATCGCATTTTTTTTTCCTGCACCGACACAGATGGAAATTGGTTTGAATTTCATTGAAACGAACACAAAAATGCAGCGCTGAAATAAAAATGTTCCATCGGTCCGCGACGCTGATGTAGAACATCAATGAAATGTAAACTTAATTTACTCGGCACTCGTTTTTCATTTTATTTTTAATTGCATGGATTAATTTATACACCTGCAGATTATTTTGGATCTGAAATTGTGAAGAGGAAGAAAAAAAAAACAACGAGGACAAAAAGCAACAACGACATTCACACAGCGATAATAAATACAATCAAGGCCATAAACGAAATTTTAACCGAAATTCGTTTTTCATTTTTATTGCGCGTGGTTGGACCAATCGTGGGCAAAAAAATTTCACGAAATGTGCGAAAAACAACAACATTGAATTAAGTTATGGGAGTGAAGACGAGTTGCACCTTCTGAAATTCCAATTAATTTCGCTTCCATTGTCAGTTTTTTTTTTACTTTGCGCTCGTCTTTTACCTCTTTTAGCAAATGTAAATCAAATTGATTTATAGCGTTAATAAATTCAAATTTTACTGAATCAAATGGTGTGTATGATTTGAAAAAATATCGTAGATAAAAAAAGCAGCAACAACAACAAAAACATCCAAATAAATTGTTTCAAGTGATTCAATTACATAGTTTGAATATCGAACATATATTGATGAACACTAAATAGCCCTGGGCAAGTATTAGCAAATGACCTTTGACATTGGCAAACAACAACACATTCCGAATTCGACTGGACTGGTTGTTATCGGTTCTTAGTTTTTCTCCCTCTCCCTCTCCCTCCCTTTCTCTCTCTCTCTCTCTCTCTCTTACTTTCAGACAAATCGAATGTGTACTACGGTCATTAAATGATTTCGTAGAAAATCTTTAGTACGGACGGATTATGTCAATGAACCTACTTAACGGGACATCGCCTAGTCGAATAAATTGGATACAGGTATACACAGGCCACTGTTATTTCTTCTCTTTCATTCTTTACCCAGTACATAAACCCCCTAATTAAATTTAATTGCCCGTAACGAATGGACACAAGCAAGCACCGTCATGGAAGCTGATAATTAAATCGTTTGTTTACAGTGCGGAATTTAATGCCGACGGGGCTTTGCTTCTTATATGTAGAGATTTGTCGCTCCGTTTACTCGACCGATTCTTATCGCACCGATAGTATAGTACATTATCTTCCACCCAAAGTTTACTGCTCTTAATATTTACTTTGTCCATATCGAATGGTCTTATCGCTCTTTCTCACCAAAGTACATACACATACCAACCCATATTCACACTCACATCGGTGACGAACAGAAAAAAAACAAGTTGTTCTCAACTGAGATTTTGCTTAATATTTTTGTTTTTCAGTCGTATCGTAGCTGCGTTCAAAGACGGAGCTCTCGTGTTTGTTGAAATTGAATATTAAAATGGCTTTCAAATTATTCGCAATTTGTGTCACTGCGTCGGTATGTGTTTGTTTGTTGTCGATCGTTGTTGCAGGTAAATATCTTGTTCGCAAATCCATATTAATGTAGTGATTCACTACTTCATGAAAGAAACAAGAAAATTCAAGTTTTTTTTCTCGTTTCCATTTATAGAGCGCGACAGCTGCAGTATTCCGATTACAAAGCAAATACCTAAGAATGAACCAGTTTATTTAATCGAACAGACAAACGGACATTTGAAACTGTACGAACCGACGGGAAGCAATATTGAAATTTCATCGAATGAAAAATTGATTCTGTTCTGTCCGGGAAGGCGGAACACATTGATCCACTCGAATGAGAATTCAAACGAGCTGTCATGTACAAATAATTTCCGCAGCAAATTACACCAATCGAATTGTACGAGACAAGTAACGGGCGACCTGGAAACAACAACAAAATCGTGTCAACTCAATAATCGTCGGGGTCTCATTTATCGGGCTGGTTTTGCGGTGCAACAGAAATTCGTCGAACTATTTGAAATTTGCTACGATAGCCAGAGTGCATCGGTCATCTACTCGCACCATCAAATCAATGGCAAAGCAATAAATCGTAAGTAGATTCCTGTTTCCGTTTGCTCTCTTTGTGAACGAGTGAGTTCTTTTTTTAATTTCTCGGTTTTTTTTTCCTTTCTCATCTAGATAACATAAAGGAAAGTGATCGCGTAGGTTTCAAAACAGACGGTCTACCAAAGCGGGCTAAAGCCGAAGTGAATTATCGAAAGCAGTCACAAATAAACCACTTTAAAAGTGTGCTTGGTCGCAGCCAACAATACTTTACGAACAGTTCATTCTTGTCGCGTGGCCACTTGACACCAGATGCCGATTTCGTATTTAGCTCCGCACAGTTTGCCACATACTTCTATGCGAACGTTGCACCTACATTTCAATCGATTAATGGCGGAAATTGGAATCGCGTTGAGCACATTGCACGACAGTTAGCCGGCCAAGAGCAAACCAACTTAGACATTTATACAGGCACTCATGGTCAATTAGCATTGCCGAGTAGCGGCGGTGACTTGGTGCCTCTCTACTTGAGCGAAACCGACCAAATCGAAGTGCCGGAATATTTATGGAAAATTGTACATAATCCCCGTACAAATGCGGCCATCGTATTTATCACAATGAACAATCCATTTGCTCGCCGTTCCGACGTTCGTGAACTATGCCCAGACGTTTGCCAACAAAGTGGCATCACATTCACACAAAATGCACGACGTGGTTTCACCTATTGCTGTACGTATGAGAACTTTGCTCGGCAATTGTCGCCGCATCCATTGAGAGCCAACCGTTTGCTAGTTCTTCACAAGTAATTCTTCTGCTGAATGTTATTTTGAACGATGCCATCGGACAATTTATTTAAGTCTTTTTAATTCTAGACTGCACATGACCATTTTAATCGCTTTTTTTCTCTTCCTCAAACTCAAAATAAAATAAAGAAGAAATTTACTCGAAATTATTTACCCTTGTATTATTAAATGGATTTACTTTCTGGAACAAGTACTATAAATCTCCGTATTGCATTTGGATTTTAAGTAAAGCAACTCGACTGGTGTCTTTTTTTCCGTGATTTCAACACTCCGTTTCCATTCACTTGTTGCGAACATTTCTACTTTGATTTTCTAGCGATTTTCGTTGACAACAAAAATCTGTCGCTGTTAAAGACGATTATGAGCATTTGCTTCGAAAAATCGTCTTAAATAATTCTATTTCGCAGCTAAGCACATCGCAAAGTTTCTGAGAATACCCTGTTGAACAGTTCATGTAATAAAGCCCAGAAAAAAAACTACATCTTATAAAGATCAGCAAGGACGAATGCTTCTCAGATGAGAGCAAAAACAAGAAGAGAAAACGGCGTTAATTATAAATTACATCATCAATTTCCAGCTCAAAGATATTGTCGTCTCTTTCGATGGATGCTTCCAAGTACAAGAGCAAAGAATTTATGACGCTTGTTGAAGTTCATTAAAAACAAGCTGTAATAGAGCTAGCTAGCGTAAATGAACGTGAACGAAAAGGAAGAACGAAAGCATAGAGAGAGAAAAAAATGACTCAGTCCTGATGCTGTGCACATTTTTACCACAAAATGACATTCTTACGCGCACAAAATACTTCACATTATATTAAATGTTAATTAGAATTTTTTTAATTACACCGAAAAAGCGTGCGGATAAAATGCACTGCGAAATATTTTCATGCCTTGAGTTGTTCGATGCTCCAATAACAAGGGCTTGCTGTTGTAGTTATTTGACTTGATAACGACAACGACACCACTCAGTGGCGAACACAACAAAAACAAAGACCACCGCTTTTCCAGCACATATTTTTAGCAATTGAGAAATGCAGTGCACGCAACGTGTGAACCACAACTCAGAAAGAGTATGTGTGGTAACGAGAAAAAAATTTCATTACAATAATTAAAGAAAAATTATTGCGGTTGATCGGTGACATTCCAAGTCAAGAGCGTTGTCCTAAGAAAAATAACTGCGGGTTAGAAGTGTTTATTGCGTTGATCCAAAGATAAATAATAAGAATTATCGAATCTGGTCGTTTAAAACTCCGTAATTAAGGAAATGTACAGAGGTGAAGACGGACGTTTTTCTATGGAAATTTTACGTTTGTATATTTATGAATACTTGAAAAGAAAAACTCAATAAATATAGAAAAAAGGTCTTCAATCAACTTGTCATTCCTTATGTTGCATGAAAATGTTCCTGCATAAAATTCAATCATGTGACGCAGGTATGAATCACAAACCATTCAATTCAATGAAATCTATTATTGTTTTTGATCCGCCCACTCTAAAAATACTGAAATTCCTTTGAACTAGTATACCAAAAATAAATCAATATTTTCTACTTTGAAGTGACTTCTATTCACCAGGGGATTTTGTACGGAAAACAGACAAATTCCCAGAAATGTACATGTGTCAAGTTCATTTTTTCCTGTACATCAACAGTAGCAAAACACGTTGGAATTCATTGCTCTATAGATGGAAATCGTTCGAGTGGAATTTATTCCGTATTGGATTTTTGACCAGCTTGTTCACAGCTCGCTGTGAGCACATATTGGTATAAATGTAGGCTTCGTAATAAATAAATAAGCATAGGAAACGCTTTCAGAAAGGAAACATTTTTCGTTTGTACTTGATGGATCTGCTCGTGTCCGTGGATCCACATCGAATCCAAACTGATTTTTTTTCCACTCAGCATATTTTCAATTCAATGATTTGTAGTGGGCGATATGGGGTAATCAGTAGCGGTAATTTTCCTGTTATGTGAGTACATTTTTGTGAAATGATAAAGTTCACAAAGAAAAGGGATATTTTTGGAAATTTATTTGTTCCGTCCAAAATTCCTTCTGATGACTTTCCATTTCAGAGGGATTTGATTAACTGCCATAAACTAAATATATTACAAGGTAAATTTTCCAGAAAATCTTTAGCCATTGGTCAACCACTATATCTCATTTCAACCCTTGCAATAGCGCGTCGTCATCACTCCATGTTGATGCGAACAAAATATGTTACGAATAAAAACTTTTCTCATCATGAAATGTCACCACGAAATGAAATGAATGAAATTATATAATATTTTCCTCGGCTTGGGGATTCCAAAACGAAAAATATGGGAATTGAAGAATAAGTTAACAAAAAAATAGATGGGATAATACTAGCAATCATATTCCAGTGAAATTACTCACTGAGTCGTGAAGTAATAAAACGTTACTGGAGCAAGTAACCGTGTTCATGAAGTCTGATCAATTTCTTGGTAGTTAAGTCGAAGGTTGAGCGAGAAAGAAAAAAAAATTGAAAAAAAAAAACGTTTGCATAAAGTTTTCAGAGAAAGAAAAAAAATTGAATTTAGATCAAAACTCAGGTCGACCCTTGCGCAATTGTAACTATGGCGAGTTATTCAAGCAGGGTGTAGTTTGTGGGAAAAAAAACATTTACATTGTGGCTTCGGTCATGCTCATCGATGCTTATTTACAAGCGACTGTCGCCATTTTGAACTATCAAAATACCTATCATTTCATTCGAACCAAGTATGTGGTCTTCCAAATGGCTGCACACATTTGCATAATAATGGAGCATTCGAAATGCTCAAGAGCCAAAGAAAAAAAAAATGCTGAAAAACTTTCTTTCGAAAGTAACATTTAGCGGCATTTCATGGAACAATGAAAACTTTCTTTGTGCAATTAAGCGGTTTTTTTCTGCATGAAAGGCACATCCAATTCATCGTCTGTCGCATATATATCAGGTAAAGATAGGTCGGAATCAACATTTGATAACATGCAATATATATTGCTTGTGCATACACGCAGCGAGACCACCTCAACAAAGAGTGCATTGAGCACAGAATTTGTGTTGGAAAAATTTCGAAAAATGTCCATCCAATCAATTAATACCTTTTTGCCGAGTGCGTCGAAAATGATCTCTCCCCGTAGTCCTGAATAAGCATCATTAAAGTGTGGGAAGAGAGCGAGAAAAAACCGATTCGCATGTCGAATTCAATTAACACAGATTCCAATTCAATAAGCATATGCGTCATTTGTATGGTCACACAAATGAAAATCGAAATATGCCAAATAAATGCGCGAACTATTAATTGAATTGTTTTTTTTTTCTGTTCAATGACTGCGCCATGGTTATTCAGGGAAATGTTTTCCTCTTTGCAATAATAAAAATATATTGAAATTCGAAATAATTCCCATTTTAATAACAATGTATCGAAAAAGTGCTTATGATAAATCATTGAATGAGATTATTTTTAATTCATTTATCAATTGGCATTCTGTGTTTGCTAGTTTCTTTTTTCTTTCTCTCCGCTTAATTACAAATATTTCATTATTTTTTCGAATGGATTTTGATGTTGTCATTTAGTAATGAAGATGTGGGAGGGAAAAAAACATAAATGAAATTATCACAATCGAGTAATTGAATGCGTGTCTATTGTGCAATCATTTGCTTGAATACACATTCATTTCGGTGGATAATAAATATATTTACACCGGATCGCACACACAAAACTCAAATCCACCGGAACAATTTCGCCAATCGATTCCGTGCGCCACTGTTGACTGTTATTCGGAAATAATAGAGATAATCAGCAAATGATGGTTTTTGCACTTTGGTAATGACAGCCTATTTTTTGCGTTTGTTTACTCGATTGTTGCCGTCAATTTGTAAATGTTTATCGTAACTTAGTGTCATTTTATGGGCAATGGAAATTTGACTAGTCAATGTGCATAAACGAGTGATAATGTCACTAGCAATTCATCAATATTTTAATATGTTGATGAGCGAATGATCAGCGCTATCCCACGGTGAACGATGCAAATGAACATTGTATGAAATAAATTTGTACATAAAATGTAGCTCGGCGAAGGGGCATGATACCATTCGGCAATTATCGCATACAACAAACCCAAACGGAATCAGAGTCACATTCAAAGGCCATTTATTATTGCACCCGAGTGCAGCGCTATATATTGAAAGCGATATCCGGATATTTGGGTCAAATGCATCGAGCATAAAACCACGCACATGGGAAACACACCATCATCAGCGCCTACAATCCGAAAATCAATATTAAAAAAATTACTAAAAGTTCGTTAAACCATTTTACCGCAGGTCATACAAACAAAATTGCACGAGAGTTTGCACTTGTTAAAAATCAATTTAAGTTTCTCTCACGTACGCGCATAAAAAGCTGGCTTTTCACTGTTTCGACATTTTCAGGCTATCGCTCTCGTTCTCTCCGGCACACACACTCATCCGGCCAGCGCTCATAACATTCACACACACATACACCTAGAGTGAACATATCGTCTGCCAAATTTCTCCCATTGAACTCATAAAAAATGCTCGACTTTGTGCATCTAGGCGCTCGTTCGCTTTCTCATTGCTCTCGATAATCGTGGAAACTGCCAATAAAAATGGCACTTTGAAAAGCCCTTCCGAATATCGAATCCACATAACAGACATTCACTTGAGTACGCAATTCGGCAAAAGTTTCTCCATTGTTGTATTTCCATCGCCGATTGTTTAGGTATTGATCGAGTTAAGAGTACTTATATTACCTTCCCATTCGTAAACAATGACACAAAAAAAAGAACCTTCAAGTATTGAAATACCAAACTATAAAAAGCACTCACGTTCACTTCGACCATATCGATTTTTCGTCTCGTTTTTTTTTCATTTTACTTTCTTGTTGTTCGTTCATCGTTCGGACGCAAAATGGGTAGTTGCGAACCGAGAAAGGAAGAGGTAGAGCGACCTAACTGAGAAAGATTCAATTTCAAATTTCATGAATAATAATAACCCCAAATAAAGAGGCCACTTGAAGTCATGCACTTGCCAGCCAACCTAAACTGCAACATCAGCATCGTTTTACATCATTTTTTCTTTCATTTCAGATATTATTTCAAGAGAGACAGAGAGCGAGCGATCAAAATGTA